ATGTAGCTTTTGGACGAAGGATCCCACAATTCCGGCATACTTTCCAATTGTAGGATAAACTCCTTCAAACACCTTTGGTCATTCGTTAATCCCAACACCGCCGGCTGGATATGTGCGCTTTCGTCGTCCGACATTATTAAAAATTACCACTGCCAAATAAATAATTAATCCAATAATTAACGTTTCGCCTTTAACATTTAAATCTCCACTTTATTTTGAAATACACACGTATTGACGTATCGCGAACGAAATATGCTACACGTTCAATATTTATTGACAGTACTGCGATGAGCGATCCAGATTTCAAAATTTCTAGAAATTTTGCGATATGAATCACGATCCATCAATATTGCATGCTACACAGTCAATAAGTATCGCGATACTTGGATCACGTCAATAAATATTGATCGTGAGACATGGCCTATAGCAGAGAGTGGAGCATCATGCATAAATATGAATCACGATACTAGATCGCGATCCATATTGATCGTGAGAGAGGGCCCTATGTTCTTGTACACAGTAGAAAAGGGATACTATCGATAGTACCGCCACTCGATAGTTTTCGAAACGATAGTTGAAAACATCGATAGTATCGATACTATCGTCGTGAGAGGTATTGGCGCATATTCATAGTCATACCATGGTGGAATAATAATAATTACCAACATAAAATTTACTTCTGTTCATTGTCGCACTTCAGACTTCTACTAAGTAGTTTTGACTTGGTTTACGATATAGCAAAACGAGTGTGAAAATGTATAGATTTTTCTTTACGATATTTTGGAAAAATTACATTTTTATTAAATAATGTCAAGTTTGATCATCCGTTTATGTAATTTTTATTTTCACTGCATGATTATGCAAAAGAATAAGGTATCATTTTCTTGTTAATTGTGTGAAATAGCCAGAACAACCGCAGTGATGTGAAGTCGATGTTTATCGAAAGCATGCTGTGAAACATACAAATAGTAGGGGCCTGTGCCAATCAGTAACTTTTTTCTCCGTGGTGAGACGGGGTGGTAAAATTTGCTATGGTGTACAAATAAATTGAATTTTGCTGTGCCAAATGCAAAGTAAAATTTGGCAGTTGAAAAACCAAACAAACGCCCGTGCGAAAGCTCTATTTGAATTTATCTAAATTATTCCAATTATAAAATTGTGATGTAGCTTTATTCGAATTGTAATACGCATTTAATTTCATCTTCCGATTAAAATGGATCGATCTTTGTAAATTTTAATTGAAGATTATTCAATATTATCAAAATCACCCTCTACCAACTTAATTTTTACATATTTCGTCTGTTTTCCCTTAATTTGATAAAATACTTCTTCCTAGTTACGACTTAGTTGCAGCTGCAGCCGAAACTAAATTTTAAGTTGGTACTTAGCCAGAAAAGTCGAAACTAAGTCGACTATGAATAGCCTTAGTTGTGACTTAGAATAGTTTCGACTTAGTTGAGTACTAAATATGACTATGAATATGCGCCATAGTTGATTTATTTTTATTTTTTCTCTGTATACACATTTTGTTTCCTCAAAAAGGTATTATATCTTATTTTATTTCATTTCATTGCGAATATACTATAAAAAAGCTAATTTTGTATAGAAGAAAACATGAAATCTTATATTTTTCCAAATGGGGATTAATTTCTTCCCGTTTTTCTTATTCTACTGAGCTAACCTTGTATTAGCTACCTTGTATTAGCTTTGTTTCTTATCAGATAATTATCACTAATTTCTGCTGAAAAGAGTTTCTTAACCTAAAAAACTAGCAGAAACTAGCAGCTCTCTCTCGTTCTTACGCTCTTCTCTAATGCTAATTTCTGTTAGTAAAACTTTTACTAGCAGAAACTAGCAGCTGTCAAAATGAATAAACAAAAATTCGCGCCAAATATTTTCAATAGTCAAATACACTGATCAGCTGTTTACTTGCTAGTCTCTGCTAGTTTTGCGTTTCTTTACTTTTTCATTATTTCGTTTTTTGTGAGCGTAATTCTATCAATTTTTCCATTCTTCTTCTTCCTCATAATAATCTGCTAGAAAAGAAAAGAAATAAAGCCATTATTGATGCTAAATTCAAAGATTTATCGAAACAATTTGATGCAATAAAAGATCTAATAATCTCCTTGCATTCGACCAACAACAACTCGAGTGCAAATAACCTTAACGCTGTGAATGCTGTCATGATGGCTGCGGAATTCCATACCAGAAAAACTGCTGCTAATATTTCTTACAACAATAACTACTATTTATATAAGCTGCTTTATGGAGCTTTACGGCCGGTTAAATAAAAAGCAAAACAAAGTTTTCTTTTATCCTCCTACGCGTTTCGGCGTCTTCATCAGGGAGTCTGTTTATTCGGAACAAAACATAAAAACACAAACAATTAGGCTTCAAATCACAATTAATAATATGCGTACATACATACATATATATAACATAGTTAACAAAGTACATATATACATATATAGAAACCACAGCACTTCTATTTAAATTAATAAGAACAAAATAAGCAAAACATCACAATAATCGCTTCACTACATTCACTTCTGCATCATCGTCCATCTGTTTTTCTATTGCACCTTATTGCCGTCCTGTATGCGCAATTTATTATTTATTTGTTCTTGTATGCGCAGGCCTTCTAATGTTAGTCTCGTTCGCACTCGTTTCTCTATGTCTAATATTTTGGTGTTGTTGAAATCAGCCGAATGTCCGCTGTTTGTCAAGTGTTGGGCTAGCGCTGTAGTTAATTTTTTGTTTCTTACGTCTGCTTTATGTTCGCCTATTCTGACTCCAAGGGCGCGCTTTCTTGTGCCTATGTATAATTTATTGCAAGGCTCGCCAGCTTTGCCATTGCAATTGATTTGATAAACTACATCATGTTGTTGTTCTTTGCTGATCTTGTCTTTTGTTTTGCTAAATATTTTGTTGAGAGTGCTATGCGGCTTATGTGCGAATGTTACATTTTTATTTTG